CTAGACGCGATAAGTCGAACCCAGAAGTTCGATTGCCAGCCGCCAAACTAGCGGGTAAGTGTAGCCAAGGCCTTAGAAAATGATATAAAAAATTTCAAATGATAACATTTTTTTCTTTTAAAACAAAGAAGGGGTTTTTCAAAGACATTGTGTGAACTTGTGAGTTATTTCTCCTTATTCTGGTGGAGTGCAAATTAATTTTCAGCTGAAGGCTTTAATGGCTGAGAATCATTTATACTGGCTGTAGCAAGGCCATTTTTGTTAATTGAATGTGGTCTAAAAGCATTATGCGGCATGTTTTCACAGACATTGATGAATGTGGGACTGGAAGGCACAGCTGTGCCAATGACACTGTTTGCTTTAACTTGGATGGTGGGTATGACTGTCGATGTCCTCATGGAAAAAACTGCACAGGAGACTGTATCCATGATGACAAAATCAAACACAATGGGCAGATTTGGGTGCTGGAGAACGACCGGTGCTCCGTCTGCTCATGCCAGGTTAGTATAAAGTTCACTGTTTTTTTAATCACTGGTGGGGAAAAAGGGAGAGATTGCTAAATTGGAAGAAAACACTATGATTACAGTGAAATTACTCTGTTACCGCTTTTCTTGGGCCCCCTCCACCATGGAGGTGATGTCACAGGAAAGGTGATTTCGACAGGACCATTTGGGATCAGTGTGCTTCCTTCTGGCCTGCCTCTCCCCAACACCGAGCACCCTATCCCAGTCCTACTCAATCCCAGCCGTTTCCCCCTGGATGGATAATAGTTCCTTGGAGGCTTTACTGTGTGACCCTGCAAAAAGGAAGATAGAGCCATCAGAGACACCCATCTCCCTTAGCCATGTGGGAGAGATGAAATTTGTGCACAGAAGATTTCCCCTGTGCATTGATCTTTGAGATGTAGTTGGACCCAGAATTAGATTGGCTAGAATTGATTAAATGTGAAGGAAAAAAGCTGTCTTCCCCCCCGCTCCCTGCCTCTCATATACCCCAAGGTAATACTGGTCATTGTCCTCAAATCTCAATGTGAAGCTGTTATTTCCCCTAAACTCATGCTTAGTGCTGAAAATGTTGAAGCAGAACCCAGGCCAAATTCGCTGCTGGCAAAAACCGGGGCAACTCCCTGACAGCTAAGTTTTCACCAGCATTTAAGTTGAACCCTGGGTTGGTTTAGTCTTTCCAATATGAACACTTTACAATAGGTGTAGGAGAGCTGGATTGATCTGGAAGTTTCTATCAACACTTACTAACATGCATACAAAAATTAGTATACTCTTAGTAAAATCTGTTAATCTGAGGCCTGGGCTACACTAGTGGGGGGGGGGGGTTCGAACTAAGATACGCAACTTCAGTAGTTGAAGTTAAAGTATCTTAGTTCAACTTACCTGGCCATCCTCACGGCGGCAAGTTGACCGCTGCGGCTCCCCCGACGACTCCGCTTACTCCTCCTGCTGAAGTGGAGTACGGGTGTCAATTTGGGGATCGATTTATTGCATCTAGACGAGATACGATAAATCGATCCCCAATACATCGAACACTACCCGCCGATCCGGCGGGTAGTATAGACGTACCCTCACTGTCTCAGGAAAACCTATATATTTCATCACCTCAGGAGAGGGCTGATTGAAGAATTGCTGTTATGAAGGAAATTAAGGACATGCAAATTAACATGTGATTTAGAATTAAACCAACATGCCTAATTTTGTATAGTGACCAGAGTTATGTAGATTTCTGTTATCACTATATGCTGATCTGTCTTGGAACAACAGAGTGGATATGTGATGTGTCGGCGGATGGTCTGTGACTGTGAGAACCCTACTGTTGACCTGTTTTGTTGCCCTGAATGTGACTCAAGGCTCAGCAGTCAATGTCTACATCAAAGTGGGGAGCTCTCATACAACAGTGGAGATACCTGGGTGCAGAACTGTCAGCAGTGTCGATGCTTGGTAAGTCTTCCTACAACAGCAGAGTCTATAGTAAGGCCAGGTCTAACTTAGAGAATTTTTCACTTGACCGGAGCTCAAAGAGCTGAGAAGCGGCTACCACTTACTTCAGCATAACTTACATCGCTATGGGGTGTCAATAAACCTCTCACCTGAGTGACATAAATTACACCGACCTAAGCACCGGTGTGGACAACACTATGTCGGTGAGCTTCTCCCATCTCTCTAACTACCATCTCTCACGGAGGTGGATTTATTATGCCAATGGGAAAGTGTCTTCACCAGATGCGCTACAGCACTTGTAGTGCTTAAAATGTAGACTAGCGCTAAGAAAAATGAACTCCAAGCATTTTGGCAACCTCTAAATGGGATTTCACTTTGAATGTATTGTGAATGAATCCTTTTCTGTTTCCTTTTTGCTAACATTTGTGTAATCAAAGTTTGGTTTGCACAAATGTTGCAAACAGCAAATTTCAGGCCTATGGCCAAAATTAATGTAATCGCAAAATGAAATTTGTTCAACTATGAAAAAAAATTCTTTTGAGTGGAGAGTGGTCATCATCTAGTTAAAGACATAAGAAGTGTTATCTCTTAAAACTTGCATGGGACATTCTTTCAAACCAATGCAGTAAAATGCAGCTTGGTGAGCAATTCTCAAGAAATAATGTATTCAGGGAATTTAATCTTTTTTCACGTTTGTGAATTGGTCATGAACAGACTGAGTTTTTACCAACTTGTCTTCTATTTGAAATTGTTCAACAAATAATTTAACAAACAAATTGCAGGCTAAACAATGGCTTAAGTGACCAATCACATCCTGAAGAGTGAATTCTGAATATTGAATTTTTAAATGACTATCACAAGCAATTTCTGATCAGTTCATAGCCTGCAATTTGTTTGTTAAAATATTTGTGGAACAACTTCAAATAGAAGACAAGTTGGTAAAAACTCAGTCTGTTCATGACCAATTCACAAATGTGAAAAAAGCTTAAATTACTTGAATACATTATTTCTTGAGAATGGCTCACCAAGCTGCACTTTACTGCATTGGTTTGAAAGAATGTCCCATGCAAGTTTTAAGAGGTATCACTTCTTATGTCTTTTAGACATAGTGCAGTGCAATTAGATCTCAAAATGTAGTTAATGAGGAGACATCAATTGGCAGGGCCATTTCTAGTTGCGTAGCCCAGGAGTATGTTCTTGGTCCATTGCTATTCAGTATTTTTATCAGTGATTTAGATGATTATATAAAATTGGCAGATGACACAAAGATTGATTGGGTAGTAAATAATGAGGATAGATATCTGTTATGGAGAGGTCTGAATCCCTGGGTTAGATGGACACAATTCAACAAAATGTATTTTAATACAAGGTAATACATTTGGTCACAATGAATGCAGGCTATAGCTACAGGATGGGAGATTCTGTCTCAGAAAGCAGCGACTCAGAAAAGGACTTAGAGGTCATCAAAGGTAACCACCCCAACATGAGGCCTCAGTGCAGTGGGGTGGCAAAAAGGGCTAATTTTATCTTTGGATGAATAAAAGGGGAAATATTAAATAGGAGCAAGAAAGTGATCTTGCCTTTGTACACAGCATTTTTAAGACAGATGTTAGAATACTATTCCAGTTCTGATGTCCACACTTCAAGAAGGATGTAGAAATACTGGAGAGAGTTCAAAGGAGGCTAAAGGAGCTCAGCTTAATTATTGAGGAGAGCGTTGAGAGGTGGCTTGATCACTCTGTATAATACTTGTATAGGGAAAAGATATCAGAGAGCGTTTCAATTTTGTTGACAAAGACATAACAAGATTCAGTTGCTGGAAGTTGAAGCTAGACAAATTCAATCTTAAAATAATACTCAATTTCCTAGCATTGAGGGTAATTAAACATTGGAACATCTCACCAGGGGAGGTGGAGAACTCACCATCACTTGGAGTCTTTAAAATGAGATTAAATATCTTTCTAAAGAAGCTTTAATCCAGCTTCTTGGAGAAATCCTACAGCCTGTGTGTGCAGAGGATCAGGCTGAACGGTCACAGTGGTCTCTTCTCATCTTAGAGTCTGTGAATCTATGAATTCCATTGTTCATTCCCTTCCTTCATGGGGCACAGAGAGAGCAAGAAGCTCTGCATTGCCCTCTACTTGCTCATAACACTTTCAGCTCTGCATTAAGACAATGATTGTAATTAAATCTCATGCTTCAGAGCTTCAAGCAGTCACCTTTAAGGGTCAGGGAAGAATATTTTTCCCCAATAAACTATTGGCCAGATGTATTCTGGATTCTGAAACATCAGGAGTTGGCCACAGCTGGAGATGGGGCATCTAATAGGGTGGACCTGTGCTCTGAGGTAGTACAGAGGTGCCTGGCTGATATATCTTGCTCACATGCTTAGGGTGAAATTGAGTGCCACTTTTGGGGTCAGGAAGTGTTTTTCCTCAGGTCAGATTGGCAAGGATTTGATGGATTTTTCTCCTTCTTCTGCAGCATGGAAGATGGCTTATCTGCAAGGATCATCTGAGCATATTGTAGCTAATCAATTCCCTGCTGTTGCAGGGTTTTCAGGCATTTGTGCCATCTTGATCTGTCTTGTTCTCTGTCTGTGGCACACAACGGTTTAGTCTCCTGATGGCTGACATAAATTTAGTCTAACTGAAGTCATTGGGCTCAATATAGGGGTAACTTCCCTGTCACAAACAATCCCCAGATGAAAACGAATGGTGTTTTACCTTGGTTTCATCTACAGAAGTAAATCCTGGTCCATCCAGTGGCTTTCTCTGACAGTCATGAATAATAATAGGAGGGAACAAATTCCAGATGGACAAACTTTTGTAGGTTTCAAGTTCACTCTTGCTAAAATGCAATAAAATAGGTCCCCATGTGATTCATTAAATGCCTAAAAAATAAAACCCTATAGTTTTTAACGTCCATACAATTACCAAATGAATGTTTTAGGTGATATCTCTTTTGTTTACTCTTTGTACTTGCATTCAATCCAAGAAAATCAATTGAAATGCCAGGGTCAGTCACTGTTTCTTAAGATTACTTTCATTCCCAGCATCATGTGATTCTGAAGAACAAGGGAAATTTGAGCCAGATGGGATTTGTATAAAAACAGTAACTTTCTAATATTTTCTCCAGGGAAAAAATAAAGCGAAAGCTATAGCAAATTCCTACATGATCTTTCTCAGCTCCATGCTCTGGGGACCACTTAAACCACCACTGTTTAATGCATTATATGTGATTTTTGTAAACAAACTACTTTCCTAGGGCCAATGCTGGTTTCCCACATAAGTCCTGAATAGATCAGCCAAGCTCACGGGACCTGCACAGGTATTGGATCAGGGATGGAATCCTGCTCCAAAACCAAAACCTAGTGATACAGGTAGGACAACCAAGCAGCTCTGGCCCCTGTGAAGTCCATACTTTGATTGGCGGTGTTGGATAGCATACTGATCCCTTGGCCACGCTCCAGCCTGAAACACCTGTGGCCCCATTGAGCACTAATACTCTAGGCATCTTATGACTTTTATGCAAAATTACAAATAGAAAAATATCCCCAGAAGAATCTTCAACCACAAACAAATAAAAGTCCCTGTTTTGGGTTACTCCTGCCCTGTTTCAACCCAACCCCTGAGGGGAAGCTTAGGAAAATAGGCTTAGGAAGTCAACTAATCTGGTCCTTGGGTCAGACCAAAGGGGCAATACGCTCCAGAGTTGAGGACCTTTCACTGAAAATTCTGTGATGTCAGCCTCTTCCATTTTATACTGGGGAGAATTAGCTTTACTGCCTGTGCTGATTGTATCTGCTCAATATCCTACCAAAAGCAGATTTCTAGTGTAGCCAGATGCTAAGCAGTTTAGGGCTTTATAGGGCAAAACCATCAGTTTACACTGTAATTAGAAACAAATTGGAACACCAGTAGACTACCAAGCACTTGTATAATGTAGTCTGTTGTGGCTTATGTCACTGTCAAAAGTGTGATTTACTAAGCAAGTAGCCACATTCTGCACCAGATGAAGTTTCCAAGTGGTCGTTGGTTGAAACTCAATGTAGAGTGCTTTGGAGTAATCTAGTCTTGAGATGGCAAGGGCCACCTCATTGTGATGAGGTCCACATCCAAGCACAGATGAAAAAGGATCATAAACAGCTGAAGATAACACACAGTTGTAAATATATAAGCATAAAATATAATATATGAGTATAAAATATAATTAGCAAATGGCTAGCACACTTTGGCTAGCACACTTAATTGATAGAAATGATAAAATCTCTGCCACATCTTCAGTTCTTTCCCCAAACCTGCAGCATCTTCTTGGTTTTAGTCATGCCTCATCCAGCTAATGCTCATCCAAGCCCCACCGTTGGATAGACACTGGATAAGAAGCTCAACTGTACTATGGTCCAGTCAAATTGATGTATAAGCTGTCATCTACACAGTGGAGGCATCAAAGCCTGTAGCACTTTGCTAACTCCCCAAATGAGCACTTCCCTAACATGTAAGAACATAAGAATAGCCATACTGGGTCACACCAAAGGTCCATGTAACCCATTATCCTTTCTTCCGGCAGTGGCTGGTGCCAGATGCTTCAGATGGAGTGAACAGAACAGGGCAATTTATCGAGTGATCCATCCCCAGTTGTCCAGTCCCAATTGCTAGTAGTCAAAAGTTTAGGGACACCTCAAGTGTGGGGTTGTGTCCCTGAGCATCTTGGCTAATAGCCATTTGTGGACCTATCCTCCATGAACTTATCTAATTCTTTTTTTTTAATCCAGTCATGCTTTTGGCCTTCACAACATCCTCTGACAATGAGCTCCACAGCTTGGCTGTGTGAAGAAGTATTTCCTTATGTTTGTTTTAAAATTGCTGACTTTTAATTTCATTGGGTGACCCCTGGTTCCTGTGGTATGTGAAGGGAAATAAAACTTCCCATCACTTTCGCCACATCATCCATGATTTTATAGACCTCTATCATATCCCCCCTCAGTCATCTTTATTCCAAGATGAACGTTCCCAGTCTTTTTAATCTCTCTTCAAATAGAAGCTATTCCATACCCCTAATCATTTTTGTTGCCTTTCTCTGTACTTTTGTGAATTTGACTATATCTTTTTTGTGATGGGGCTACCAGCCAGTGTTCAAGGGGTGGGTGTACCATGAATTTATATGGTGGCATTATGATATTTTCTGTCTTATTATCTATCCCTTTCCTAATGGTTCCTAAC